CTTTTACCACATATAAATAAAAAAAAAAAACCAACAAAAAAAACCCTCAGTCTGTTTCTAAGCTATCCTTCCTGCTTGTCTGCTTGTCTCTGTGTTATTGTGCTTGTGTTACCGTTGGTGAGGCTGTGTGGTGTGTTTCATGCTATGCAGAGCCGGTGCCCTTACTACTTCTCTAGAGTCTGACTCGGGCGTGCGCTTGTGTGGCAATCGGAATCATGACTGGGCTGTCCGTGAAACTGAAAATGCATTAAAAGATGAAATGGTGAGCAGGCTCAGCTTAAAACAAGAAGACCTCTTCGCGTTCTGAAATTTTCAGTGAGCAAGTACAAGAAATGGCACTTGATGGTCCAAATCCCATTTTTTCTATTTTAATGTGTGTAGAGTGTTATTAATATCTGTTTTCTCTCTTTATCCTACTGTTTCGTCCAGCCTTTCAGGGGGTGTCCATAGAGTCGTTCAGGAGTTTTCATCCCTAATTCATTTTCTCAGAGGCTCTAAATCTCTCCACTCCACCTTTTTTTCACCTCAGGGGTGTCCGGGATCATCACTCCTGCCTTGAGGCTGTTGAATGCTAAGATAGATGCAAAGCCCTAAAATTTCTTCCTATAGTCTGGCAACTGAAGACGTTGGGTGTTTCAATATCGCAAGTGCCCCTCTATATCATACACGTATTGTCTTGACTCAGTTACTCGAGTATTTCTATCAGAGTAAGAGGGAACCGTCTTTCAGGGGTGTGTGTGTAATTCTCTCTGTGTAATGCAATTTCATCTCTTCCTATCGTCCCAACCCTGCCCCTGAGCACCAATCCACTGCGCTTCTTGTCAGTTTCGACTCACGGAGGCTCTATAAGCCCAAACCACGCCCATTGCCACTGAGTCGATTCTGACTAACAGATAGATTTGTACCGAGTCTTCCAGGTTTTAGGTTTTTTTCAGGAGCAGATCTTTTTTCTGCAGGCAGCTGCTAGGTTTGAACTGCTAGGCTTTCAGTCAGCAGCACAGCTTTTAACTCACTGGGTCATTTAGCCTCAGGTCTTTGCTGACGAGGTTCTGTGTTCCTTAATTATCCCAGAACAGCACAGTCTGAACTAACTACATTTTCTGCCTAGAAACCTGGAAACCTCAGGCTAGAGAGTTAATTAAATTAGCTTTTTTCTTCTGTTGATTTAAGTCCCATTGACCGATGATAATTTCTCAGAATCACCGGAAACATATGTGAAAGGGCTTTTAAACTATTGCAGTCCAGCAAATGACAGATTTTTGTGGGACGCACGTCATTTCTAAAATAATTTGCTTTTATAAATTAAAATCCAGTATAATTTAATGTGTTATATTGTGATACTACAAGATAATAAATAGATTTATTATTCATCTTTTCACACATTCCCTTTTGCCTTCTTTTTACCTACATCCCTTTCCTTTTTTGTCTTTTTCTATCACTTTAAATCTTACGTCTGAAGTACAATGTCAATAATGAGGTCATTACAATTTTCTATTAAAATTCATACTTTTTTTTAGCATTGGCCTAATTTAAACATTAACATTATGGACTCATGCTAATTAGTTTGAACGGTCAAATCCCCCACCCATTGAGCAAATATTGAAGTGTCATGTTATTTTGGTTCATGGTTAAGCATTGGGCTGCTTACGGAAAGGTAAGCAGTTCAAAACCACCAGCCACTCCTCGGGAGAAAGACAGGGCCTTTTACTTCTCTACAGAGTTACACTCTGAGAAACTCAGGCAGTTCTACCCTGTCCTACAGGATCACTATGAGTCAGCATCAACTCGATGGCAGTGAATGACTGAGATGTTAGCATTTAGAGTTGCTAGGTGGTACAAATGGTTAGGCATTTGATTAGTAACCGAAAAGCTGGTCGTGTAAGCCCACGTGGATGTCCTCAGAGGAATAGCTTGGCAGTCTCCTTCGTAAAGACCACACCCTGTAAGCTCTATGGAGGGCGGTTCTACTCCAATGCACAGGTGGGGCCTCCATGGGTCAGAGGCCACTCAATGGCAATGGGTGTGGCTTTAGCTCATGTTCAAATTAGGAGAGGAAATATGGTGCATGTGAACTAAAGTCATCACCCTTAGGATATCTTGTCATTTCATAATAAAATTGTTTTTAGCATAAGATCATGGAGGTTCAATGATGTTTTAACTTAATTGCACCCTAAGTCTAAACATTTGTACCACCATGGCTATATATTATTTATAGTCCACTGTGATAGATAGGTTTATTGTGCCAACCTGGCCAATGAACACATGTGGGATTAATTGAACGGCGGGTAGATAAATGGCTCAGTGAGCCTCCTTTTTCTTGTTCTTTGATAATCAAACCAGTGTGTGGCTGCCTTGCTGGTTCTCTGCCTCAACTTGCGAGCTACACTACCTGTGGGACACCTAACCCATGGACTGTGTCCCTGTAGTTTGAGGTTCCTTCAAGACCTGCTTTGCCATGTTCCTGGAGTATACATCGCTTGAGCTGTATACTGTTGGACAGTCGGACCCTGTCATCTGGCTGATGGTTGGTGACCTGCCTTGCTGTTTGCTGCCTGTGGCTGGATTGCCTGAATTGCTCTACAGAGGTCTCAGCTGTCTGCTTCATTGACTTGCACCCGGTGGCCCTCAAGACTTGAAGGACTGCCAGTGTATTGGCTTTCTCATGGAAATGAGTTGCACTGAGTCATTTGTATTGCTCTATAGTTAGCTTTTTATTTCTTATGTTGTATATATGTCTATCTATGTAAAGGCATATAAAATCATAAGTGTCCTGGTTTTGTTTTTATAGAGGACCCTGTCTAACACATCTACCTTTCTGGTGACTTGACTCTGTGAGGCAAAATTTTGTCTATCGAATAATGAGTCAATCTAGTTTGTTTATTTGCTTTTTTAACGACACTGTATTGGTTCATTTTATTGGTACACACAAAACTATTTTGTGTTAACCACATATGGTTTAACATACATTGTCCTAAACTTGCAGATGGATGGAGCCCTAAATGTCTTTGTTAATGATCTATTAGTGATTTGAGCATTTTTACCATAAAAATAATGTTAGATTTCCGGGTTAGCCCAGAAAATTCTATTTAGCTCCTATTTTTGTTAAACATTGGTCTCACTCACTCACTGCCATTGAGGCCACTCCTCTGACTCAAAGCAAGCCTACAGTACAGGACAGAGCTGCCCCTTGGGTTTCTGAGACTATCCATCTTTCCGAGAGCAGAATGCCTCATCTTTCTCCCTCAGAGTGTCTGCTGGTTTTGAACGGCTGGCCTTGCGGTTAGCAGCCCAACATGTAATCCACAACACCACCAGGGTTCCTTAAATATTGTTCTAGTGATGCTAATGCAAGTTCTGTTTTCTGCAGCAAGAGAACAGGAGGAGGAGGGGGACGAAGGAGATGACAAGCACTAGAAGCTGTGATGTAGTGGGAAGAGATGGAAGAAGGCCAAGAGGTAGAGAGAATGATGGGAAATAGGGAGGGGCTGGAAGAGAAGGAAACTTGTGTTTAGATCTTGCTCTGAGGAAAAATTTGAAATTTATGCAATTCTTTGTATCCTCTAACTTTCATTGCTGTACCCCGACTCCTCAGAATCCTAGTGCCCTCATTTGGTCCTAAAGTTCTTCCTGATCCTTCCCTATGCCTGTCCTACATCTAAGCTTCAAGCCGCAACTGCCTGCCTCCTCCCTCCCCCCGCACACACAGTCTCAAAGCATCTAATTCTCAATGGTTCTGCTCTTGAAGTATTGGGAAGATATCAGTCTATGAGAACCTAGTCATTGTGTGGAACACAACCATTTTTTTAAATCATTTTATTAGGGGCTCTTACAACTCTTATCACAATCCATACATACATCAATTGTGTAAAGCACATTTGTACATTCATTTCCCTCATCATTC